CTCTAGAGGGCACATGTACTCTTCTGGAATGATGTATGATACATTTCTAAACTCTCATTCTAGCTGGAGCCATAGATAAGTGTCTGAGAATGGAGCCCGGTTTCATGCAAAATAAATCAGAAGATGCCAATATCCTGTTATGTTTATTAGAATTAAAAATTTCAGTGAAAAAAGAAACAGGCTTTGCAACAAGATACCCCAGAACTTGGCTGTACCAGACAACATGTCATTCTTTTGAATCCTATTGTCATGGACACAAGAGTGGGAAAGGAAACTTTAGGTCATCAGTTTTAACCTCCTGATCAGTGCAGGAATCCAAAATAAAGCAGCCCAACAAATATCTCCTCACTTGCCCAGCTACTTCACCTGAGCCACCCTTTTCTCCTTGTTAGTTGGCTGATTCTGAACTATTTAGTGCTCTTTCAGAAAAGTGCTAACCCCATATTCATTAATAGCCCAACAGGTAAGAAGCATGGAACTCTAACCTGATGTAATGGGCTGTGAGAATACAGTAACCTCGAGGAGCAGGAGGAAGAGCCACAGCTATGGCAATGGTCAGAGATTGATGTCAGCCCTTACAGGTGGACCATACTTGAACTCCAAAGTTATGAATACTAAAACAACTTTTATTATAGGGCTACAGTAACAGAATCTTGGAACTCTGAATGTGCCTCCCCGCCTCCCTGCTTTATCCTAAAATCTGAGACATTTTCTCCAATTCCATTCCTGCTTTGGACTCAGATTTCTCTTATCTAACTGTTGCCTTGGCTGCAACTCTTCCTCCTGTTCCTCAAGGTTATTCACACAGCCCATTGCACCTGCTGGGCTATTAATGTATATGGGTTTAGCCCTTTTTTGAAAGCACGCTAAACAGTTCAGGCAACTTATTAAGTGGCTAAACCTGCCATTTTTTGCCTCTACGTAACTCAGCTACTGCATGCAAAAGAAAGTGATTGGTGGTTGTTTTCTCACCAGTAGGAGAAAAAACCAGGGGAATCCACTAATTCCTTTCCTTAATTTCACCCACATAAAGTAAATAATGATAGATCTTGCAGTCAGTAACAGATTCCAGTAAAAATGTAAGAGAGAGCCCAAAGAAGTACATAATATAGGCATCCATGGGGGGACAGGAGGGCAAATGATGTCATGATGCACACCACATAACTTACAGACTTACATTCAGTGTCAGGACCCAAGGGTGAAAGGCCATGGTTTGTATGGCAACACTGCAATGCATGTTTAATTTTTATCATTGCAGTTTGTCCTGGATGTTTCTGTCAATTAATTGATTGCTGATAAGACTCCAGTTCTCTGACTTGAGAAAGACACTCTTTTCAGGCTATTTGAAGCTTGCATAATCAGAAGTAAAATAAGATTTGCTTTGCCGGATCAGATCATTAAGTAATTACACTGATATAACCTTCCTCTGTTGACAGTAACTATGAACAGTTTATTAATTTCTGGCATATGAAAGCTAAGGTCATACTGCCTCTGCTAATTTTAAGTAAGCAAGCAGTAATACTGTTGTGATTGTCATTGGTAACAGCATACAGTAGCATGACAGAAAAAGAAAATAAAAACAATAGCAATAGAGCGACCCAGTTTGGTGCAAAGGTAAAAGACCAGTCACGCTTTCTCAGCCCAATTCACCTCACAGGGTTGTTGTTGTGGGGAAAAAAAGGAGGAGGAAGGAGTATTGGGTATGTTTGCTGCCTTGAGTTGTTTATAAAAATAATAAAGGCAGGATTAAAAATCTAAAAAAAAAAAAGACCCTGGGCTAGAAAGTGGGAAACTGAGTTCTAGTCCTACCTTAGCCTTGAAGCCACCTGGTGACTTTGGGCCAGTCACTCTCTGTCAGCGGAGGAAAAATAAGGCAAAGGCAAACCCCTTCCAAAAATATTGCCAAGAAAACTGCAGAGGCTTGTCCAGGCACTGGTCAGGGGTCAGGATGGACTTGAAGGCTGCCAAAAGAAAGAACTGCAAAATGCAAAAAAAAGGGCAACATGTAAAGAAAAGGAGCTGATCTGAAAGCAGTGTTCCCATTTGCAGCTTAAAGATTTATTTCTGGTTTAAAAGAGAGCACAGCAAAAGTGGTGACTTGCCTGCTAAGTCAGCAATCTGGTCTGCCATCATCCTGCATCGCAGCTTGTCGACCACCGATGTTTCCTCCCCATCCTATCCTAGATGGGGCAATTGAGAACATAGTGAATGAGCTTCTAAACTTGGTTGGCTTGACAGGGACAAAGGGGTCATTCGAGGGGCCATTTGCAAAATCTCCTTGTGAGATACGTGGAAGGCATGGTCTGTAAGTGAAGGTCCTTCTTCAGTAAAGCACTGGGAATATTAACCAGATACTGGAAGAAGCTTCTGTGTTTCTTACTGGGCAGCCCCAGAATGAAACTGTGAGGACTCTACCACTGGACCTCTAGTATCTGGCCAAATGTATTCTTTGCATTTTCTTTTAAGGTAATACATTCTGGCTTGTAAGGTTCCAGATGACCATTAGGTGGCGGCAGAGAGAGTTGAAAGCCATCTACAACAATTGAACACTGCAATTGTTCCTTAGATGACCACTAAAACAGGGTTTCTCAACCTCAGCAACTTTAAGATGGGTGGAGTTGAAGTCCACCCATCTTAAAGTTGCTGAGGTTGAGGAACCCTGCACTAAAAAGCACCAAATTTCTTTCAAACCTTAATAGGCTGATTCATTTCTTTGGACCAATCAAATTAATAGAAAAGGGTGTGGTGCAAGGCAAGGCATTTTAGTAATCCAGAACTCTTGCTCCAGCTTGCTATTCCTAAAAACAAGGAAGAAGCAAAAAGGAAGAAGTTCAAAATATAAAATGGATGTTTAAAGCCAGCCGTGAAATACAGGGGATGGACTCAAGACAAGGTCAATGCAGAGCTGTGTTTTTCAGACTTGGCGACTTTAAGAGGGGTGGACTTCAACTCCCAGAATTCCACACAGTTGAAGTCCACACAGCTTAAAGTTGCTAAAATTGAGAAACACTGCTCCAGACTGTAACAGAAAGTCAGTCTTCAGAAGCAGATGGGTGGAACCAAGAATGCAAGATTTGATAGAATTAGCTCAGATTACGGATGGCCAGACTTTCAGCATGGTTCTTCTTTACCTTTAATGGTTGCACTGGGGAGTTACAGGAGGTGCAAAGGTACTTCAACATTGCTGTTAAAAGTACTGGAAATGCTTAGAGCCCTGACACTTTCTGCATATATCTTAAAGCTACAGGCAGGAGTCTTGCTCCTGAAAAAATGAATCCTCTCTTTGATTTCTTTCTAGCAGCACTTCAGGGTTTCCGGGGAGGCTGGGGCCAAAGTGCTCCAGCAAAATCCTATTTCATGTTATACCCGCACACCAACTCTTACAAAACCAGCAGTTTTCACTTTTATATCTCTGCTTTTCTGAAATAAATGCACAAACTGCTCAGGGATACGAGTGCTTCAACAATATTGGCAGGGGGTGGTCAAAAAAGTCAAGATGGTGTTTGTGACCATGCCATTGAACCCTTTTTTACATGTGTTGTGCACGTAATGGGGAGGACTTTGATCACATGGTCATGGACTCTATCGTGACTTTTTTGACCTTCCTCTACAAATGTACCTTATACACATGGGCTGAGGTCACAGAGTGTTTGTCAAGATACTGAACCACAAACTACCTGGCCACATTTTACGCTAGCACAATATGTATTCATAGTCGTATTAGCTAAGCCAACATGGGCTCTTGCTTTAATTTAGTATGTTACAGGAGTCAATTGTGGCTTTTTCAATAAAAGTTTAAAAACCATGGTTTAATGCCATGTATGCAGGGCTTGGATGACTGTTCACACTAAGAGAATCACTGTTTTTTTCTGTTGTTGGTTCCTTAATGGTTTGTTAAATGCAAAGACATAAAACCTAAGCTCCTATTTTTTTGGGGGGAAAGGGGCTTCTTTAATGCAGGATAGCTGCCTCTACTGCTGCTGCTGACATTTTAGATATTAGATTTAAAACCCTCTATTAACTTCTTCAAAAAAAGTTAGACAGGTATCCCTCTTCACTGGCAAGACAAAGGCTCCCTTTGTAAAATTAGCCGTTGTGTAAAAGGTGTATTTAGAGAGCGTGAAAGAGTAAAGTTTCCTTCAAGTTGAATTCAGTTTCATGGCTCATAACTGCCTTTTTCTGGGATAGTTTTTTAAAACTTCTTAGTCTGGTCCACAGCCCTCAGTATCTCCTAGTGGTCTCCCATCCAGCCAGATCCAATCCTGCTTAGTTTTTCAAGGCTGGCTGGGTGCTGCCAACACAACCTGCTCTCCAGAAGCAGAATTGTTTGCAGCCAACCTTTTAGCCTGCTAAGCTTCGCTGGTTCTGAAGTAACACGGTTCTCCCATCAGGTCAACTTAACCAAGGAAGAAAAAACTCTTCTGCCCTGGGCTTCCAAAAATGGAACTTCCTCTGGCAGGGGAAGTCTTCAACTGAGCAAATACATAAGTAGAAGAGAGCCATTTTGGTGTAGCAGCCAAGGTGCTGGGCTAGCAGGTGGGAGGCTGTGAGTTCTAGTCCTGCCTCAGACATGAAAGCCAGCTGAGGGGTTTTGGCCAGTCCCTCTCTCTCAGCCCAGCCCACCTCACAGGGCTGTTGCTGGTGGGAGTGTTGAGTATGTACCCTGCCTTGAGTTGACAAAAAATACACCAAACAAATATGGGTGTTCAGCCGTCCATCCTCGGGCCGGGAGCCACGCAGAGCTTCCCACAGCCCGGCTCTGCCCATGCAGACGACGTCCAACTGGGCTTCTTCCAGGCCATTGTGAGATGACAGTTGGAGAAGGAGGAGAAGGGCATCTGATTGGCTGGGGGGAGTGGGCGGAGCCTGGGGCAGCAGGTTCTATAGGGCCAAAGAGGTCCACCTGATGCTCCAGGGCACAGCGAGCTTGGAGATAAGGCTGAGTGGAGCTTCCAGTCTCTCGTCCCCTGGCCTCTTGTGTGCCTCCCCTCCTCCTCCTCCTGCAGAACATGAGTGATTTTCACCTTGACCTTAGCCCCCTCAAAGAGCCCCTAGGTTTCATCAAGCTGCTGGAGTGGGTGAGTGGTTTGGGCAGGGAGCTTCGCCACGCCCGGCTTCCCTTGAGGAGCTGCTTTGCAAGTTGGGGTGGGGGGTGTAAGGTGAATATGCACCCCAAAGCTGTTTGTGTGGGCCATCCTGACCCTCAGAGCAGGCAACTGTCATTAGGGGGAGTGGGTCCTGCAAACTCCCCTCCTGTGGGTAAATTCAGAAAATTGGATTAATTCATGTACTCACGGAGTAAGTGTGGGAGGTACATGGAGTCTCTCCTCCAAAGACTTAGTGGAATAGGATACACAATGTTTCTAGGCCAAAAAGGCTGTGAGGCCTGTTGTTTTTTCTACTACAGAAATGCTGTAGCTGTTTCTCTCCTGTTACAACTTTCTTGCTAGGCCTGGGGCAACCTTTTTTTTTTCTGGCTGGTCTATAAAGTTCCCTTTGAATATGTATTCTTTGCCAAGTGGGATGCTCTTTGTAATCAATGTAATAAGATGCCTCTTCCACAAAATATTAAATTGTAGGACAATTTCTCTTGTCCCGCTATACTTACGTGGGAGCTTCCCTTGGTGCTTGTCAAAGCTTAAACCTTGGGTTTTGAACTTAGGATTTCAGACATGTGTATATTATGTTAGTTAAAGTTGTTGCCTCATGTTGTACAGCCTCTTCATATTTATGGCTGGCAAATATTTCTGATGAAAGCCAGGTTACTCATGTGGTGTATATGCTGAGCTCTTATTTGATTTTGTATCAGCTGGATTCACACATCACAACAGGCTATGGTGTGTTGTAGCCCTGACAAGCCATAAACAGTGGTTTATAGTCAACAGCTTGGTACATGCATCATGTTAAGCCCAAGCCTAACAAATCATAATCTAGCATACTGTATTATATAAATTAGCACAGACCAAATTAGGCATTGTGTTTTAATACTAGGCAAATGGCTGATGTGTGAAGTCATTTGATAAACGTATTAAAATTGAATCCAATAGCGCCCCACAAAATCTCTGATGTCTTGCAAAAACAGACTTCAACACTATTTATTCTCGATCCTAATTTCTGCACCCTAAAGTACATTTTTAAGAGACTGGGGCTGAGTTTACATTACATTCCAAGCCATGAACGCTCATTAGATTCACACATTCTGCATAACTGCTTTAACTATGGTTTATTGAGCAAATGACAACTGGCTGGCTTTGCACAACCCACTCATAAACCGTTGTGTCTGGGTTTACATAACATGCTGAACCAAAGCTTAACAAAAGGCATTATGGTGTAACAAATTGTGCAAACCTAGTCCCTATTATTATTCTATCCCATCATCTCAGGCTGGTTTTTAACGTTTGTGACTTCTTGTTCATGCACCCACTTCATGCTTGTTGCACCCAAAAATTCCTTGCTTGAGCCTTTTTACCCCACCTGACTTCAATTTCCATTTTTGAGCCTTTTAATACCAAAATTAGTTTCTTTTTTTTTTTTTTAAGAAAGTTCCTACTCTCTGTTATCATCTCCCTTTGCAATAATGCTAGAATCAGAATGTTCTTTTTCTATAGCTTTTTTCAGTATTTGCATTTGCTTCATGTGGAGGATATAAAGGTGTCACCACACTTCTAGTCTCCTGTCAAGGGCTGGTGAACAAAACAGTAACAGCCTCTTTCGGCTATCCTTTCAGGTGAGTTCCTCCTGTGTTTCTTGTGTGTAAATCCCATCAGGATGTAGGCTGTTAACAGGTTTCCCACAAGAATGGGTTTCCTCTAGAACAAGGTTCCTCAACCTCAGCAACTTTAAGATGGGTGGACTTCAACTCCCAGAATTCCCCA